CATTGCATTTGACGCATTTGAGTCCCTTACTAATCAAGTTAAAACGTGTATGAGAACATTTTAGACCTAATTATTAATTGGACAAGGCTATAACAAAACTTGGACTCAAATATGGGATTTAATTACTTCATAATGCATTTTATAGTCCATAAACACTTGAAATTTGATCTAGCATGAAGAACGGGTTTTTTGTAACATCATCGCACTTCCTTTCGGGACAAGAGGCCAAAATAAGGTGTCTACAATTAGCCCCGACTTTGATCAAGTCTAGAATAGATGATAATAAAAAAAAGTCAAAGAAATAAATCCGAGACTCATTCTGCGAAGTTCCCTAAGAATAGAGAATCTTTCAGTATTATATAAGGACGTCAAAACGATCCTTGATTCGCTAAGTGTTCAAGACAAGTAACTATTAAGGCAAGAAAAAGTACTTTCTAGTCTTAGTGCGCTAAAGAATCTAGTTTAATCTTTTGAAAATCTAGAAGACTTTCACAAGTAAAGGTGTTATGGGTGATATAACGTCATGAGAAGAAATCGGTTTAAAAAGGAGTAAAGGGGATGATGTCCTCTAAATCATGTCATCGTTGGTCTAAAGTCCCTCGATATGTCATTGAAACTTTACCTTGATTTTAACGAAATGTAAAGATGATAAAAGAGTGTTTCGGCTTTCGCAGGCTGAGTAAAGTTCTCGACAATTTTCTTGTCAAAACGCAATACTCGGTGTCCACAAGATAGAAATACATGTCTCAGGACTAAAGGCATATATCCAAATCCAGTGAGAGAGAAGAAAATTTGCAACTATCTCAGCAGTTTTGTCCACAAGGTGAGTACACGTGTCTCAGGACTCGAGACACGTGCCTATATAGATGCGACATCACACGTCGCTCTTTAAACAGGGGGTAGACGACACCCTAACTGTCCAAAAAATTAGTAAGCTCACTAACTTCGCCGTATTTGCTTTCTTTATATGGGGGGTGGCGACACCGTAATTGTCTGGTAAGCTACTAAGCTCACTAACTACCGTATTTGCTTCCAATCAAGAAGTGTCTATTCTCGAATGATTCGGCGTGCCTGTCAAATCGTGAGATAACGCCTAAAGTAAAGTAAAGAAATTCTACGTTTTAGCTACGAGAGGTAGATCCCGTGATAGCTGGGAAGAGGTGAAATTTTTCGCAACACCTACGCCATACATTTTTACGATGTATGATGATGCCTTAAAATTTTACGTTGTATGATAACGCCATCCTTTTTTACTTTGGATGTGAAAAAGGAAGAAAAGACCGGACATTTGTAAAGTCAGTACAGTAAAATGACAAACTTGTCTATGGGAGCTTATGTAAAGCACCACTACGGAACGTCTTAAGACACTCTTACAAAAAACGTCCAAAACGTATGCTTAGGGAAGGATGTAGACACCCAAATGTGTCTCCCCAAAACCAAACCCGGTGATGAACACCTTTCACGTCGGATCATAATCGAATGAAGTGAAAGTGGGAAAAGTCTAGTGTTGCGGTTGGTTTTTTTTTTTTTAATTCTTTTCTTTCACTCTATTTTTGAAAACCTATTTTATGAAAATAGCCAATACAGTTTAGTTTGGTCCATAGTAACGGTCCAATAATAATGTATTTGGATTGGGTTTGAAAAGAGCTTTCTAACGATATATTATAAGCCCAATTTCGATGAATAGTGAGGAAGTTATGACCAAATTACTAAACTGGGCCCAGTTTGATTTTTATGTGTGGACCAATGATCTAGAGGATGGCCTATTATGATTTATTATTCCTAATGCAATTAGGATTGATTATAATTTCTAGAATCTTCTAGAAGGTTCTTTTGAATCCTAATGTGATTAGCATTGATAATTGAGTTTTAAGAGTTTTATTTAGCATAAAGAAGTGTTTTAAAGGAAATTACAGTTTTACCCCTCGTATGCTTAAATTTTATCAAAATATGAAAATGCGTGGAAAAACTGTCTGCAGCGCCGCACTACAGGCCGTCGCTCGGCGACAGGCTCTGTCGTTTGGCGACAGGGGTGTGTGTGGCGACAGAGTCGTGTTTTATTCTTTTCGAAACTCTTATTCTTTTTTATCATACTCTGGCTGATTTTCGTTATAAATAGCCTCCTAAAACCTCCGTTTTTAATCATCAATTCTCACCAACTCTCATCTCTCTCTTTCTAAACCAACCTTTTTCACAAACAAAATTCCGCATTCACAAGATTTAGACACACCTAGCCAAGTTCGAAGTTTCCTTTTCCCTTGACGTGAAAGGTTTGATATTTCTGAGGGTTTGGTCCCAAATCCAGTCTAAACTTTCTTAATTCTTTCTTTCAATTATTTAATTTAATTGTTTGATTTTATTATTTTCCTTGAAGTTACTAACGTGTGTATCTTGTTATTAGAAAGAGATACGAGGAATTAAAGTAAGCGCTTTAATTGTTTCATTGATATTATGATATAGAAATCATGCTTAGATTGTTATTTTGATTCCTAGTATCATGTTAGGATGTTTTATTGCTTCCTAGTATCATGTTTAGGGTAATAACAAAAAGTTCTAATATGAAATATGCTTATTATGATGCTTCCTATTTTCTTTCCTAATATCATGTTAGTATCATGTTAGGGCTAAAGCTTTAATCTTTATTGTTTAGTGACATGGTAGGGTTTGTTATTAATCTTATTAGTATCATGCCTAGAATCTTGCTATTATTATGCTTTAGCGTTGATATGATTATTTTGATTATGATTATTATTATGTTGCTTGATTATATTTATTGTTATTGCTTGATCACACCTTTTTCGCATGTTTAAAGGGAATTGGTACATATAATCACGCTTAATAAGATAATTAATAATCTTGTTTAGGGTTAATATGATTATAATTCAAGTGATCGCCAATAATAGTTTTATTTGTGCATTAATAATCAACCAACATAGATTAAACAGGTTTAGGGTTAATCTATTGATTGCATGTTAGTCATAAAGTGCACATGAATACGAGTAGAATAAAGTAGAGGCCTATTATTAGGGCAGGTTCTTTCTGTTTTAGATTGGATTTGTATCTTCATCCCCGTACTTCCAGTCTTGGTTCCAAACCTATTGGAGTTGACGATCTCTTGGATCGTTAAGGAGTGTAACCTTCACCCTGTGAACGGTTTACAAGTTCCTAAAACTTGTTGGCGACTCTTTTGCTCTAGCTTCCTTCCCTTTGGACGCCACCATGCTTAAGTGTATGATCACAGTGAGGTTCAAGTTTGGGGTAATGCTTGAAATATTCCCCACAGTTTTTGGCGACTCCACTGGGGAGGATTTCTATTTTAATTCCTGAAATTTATTTTGACAATGATATAGAATGAGTGGATGAGACTCAAAAAGTTTTAAGTATTTCATGTGCGTAATTTTGATTAACATTATTGTCATATGCATAAAAAATATCTCATTGGAAAGACCATCCATAACGAGTTAAAAACATAGGATTTTTTACACGTAGGAAATTTGAGGAATATCTTTCACAACTAGAACCGAAATAATGCTGCGAAAAACTGGAAAATTTTACGAACACTGAAAGCTGCTTAGTCATGTAGGAACTGGCGTCTAGCAAACAGAGCCTGTCGCCAAAGATATGGCTGTGTCGCTGAGCGACAATTTTATCGCCAGGCGACAGGGCTATATCCCGGCGACAATCCCTGTTGGCTGGCGCTGCGTTCTTCCAATACGTAGCCAGAAATATGAGTTCTAATTTCGACCAATTCTAGCAGTGTTGGCTCGATTCTACTTCCTGATTGAGTTTTTCTCTTTTTTCTGAAACCCATATGTGTCTACATATGGACATAACCCTCTGGGAATTCATGCTCCATCTACCTAATTAAACGCTCTGAGAAACAAAGGGTACATCCGAGAATGTTGAATTCACCAAACCATGGAAGTGAGTTTTTTTTAACTCGCGGGGTCCCATCCACTCGCACCAACCCTTCCAAAGGTTAGGATTCCGCGCAGTGCATCCGAACTCATAACCATGGACCCTCTTTGACTGATCCATATCCCAAACTTTAGAGAACTAGAGCCATGGTTAGGTTGCAAACTCATTGCATCATATTGTGCCTACTTGACTAATTGTGCATTTATTTGATGCTCATACTCTATGTGTTTTTCCTAACTGTTTGTTTAACTTGTGTTTAAGCCTTAAATAAACTAATTAATGACTAAAAGGACTCTGCCTAATTAATTAATTAATTAATTTGAGTAATTAAAGTCTAATAATTTAATCAGAATTGACTTACTACGACTTTAGGCATGTCCCGTAGCGTAAAAATACTGAAAGTAGTCCCAGATTAATGCTCCAGTAATGGTGCAAAAATTTGGGCTGCACTGCCCCACGCTACAGTGCAACGCCGAGCGACAACACTGTCGCCTGGCGCTGCACTGCAGTGTGCGGCGACAGTCCTGTTGCTTTGGCGACAGTCCTGTTGCTTTGGCGACAGTTCAGGATTTTTCTCGAGTCATAACGACGAGTCTAATTCAACAGTTTGCTAATCAGTTCGATTATTTTGTTAATAACAGTACCCTTGTTTAGTCCTTAATTGAGTTAAGGCACTTAATCCCATGGTCTTACACAAGAGTCAAATCATGTCACTTGCACTCACAAATAAAGCACACACTTTTTATATGTCACCATGACCATGTCTTAGGTTCATGCAGGAGTCGTTTTCTGTCATTTGAGTGGGGGGTTCAATCCAATCCTATTCTCTTCCACATTCTCTTCCATGTTGAATAAAGCTTGAGTCAAAATAAATAATAAAAAAACTTATCCCTAATTTCCCTTTCCACAATACTTGGTCAAGGAGAGAAGGGCGATTAATCAAGGACAACACCTTTATTCAAGTTCAACTTTTTGATAAACCAGTCAGTCAAAAAAGAAAATCCAAGAAGATAATGGCAAGTCAAGAAGAAGTCAATGAGCTTAAGAAGCAAATGGATGACGTGACTGAGGTGTTGAAGGCTTTAACCCTCCAAGAACAAAATGTTTGCTCCGCTGACTCCATCCACGAGAGTCCTAGAGACATCGTGGTTGGCAATTGTAGCAACAATCACCAAATGGTCCTTGTGAGGGAATGTCACCCCCTGGCAGTCGGCAGCTGAGAACGTCATGTTCGGTGTTGGCAACTGAGGAGGTTGGACATCAGCATTGTTCACCTGATGGGTCAGAGCCATCAGGTGACGCTTACGCTCCCTTCGAGAAATGTCCCTCCGGAAATAACATGTATTGGGCAAATTTTTCCTCCGAAGTCTTATTGTTGCTATTCCGGGGGAAGTCCAGCTCTTGCCGAGAGTCTTTCTCAGACTTCTCAGCCCTTTTTTCTCGCAGTGATCCGCGATATTATTTTTCAAGTATCCCTTCCGGACCATATCCTCGATTTGGTCCTTCAGCTGGATGCATTCATCGGTGTTGTGTCTAGGTGACTCAAGGAATTCACACCAAAGGTTCTTATTTTTCTGCTGATACCACTGAGGAAGTGGTCTCGGCTTTCGGTAACTCTGCTCTCCTTTCATCACGCTGTAAATCTTGGTGCGCGGGAGGGTGAGCGGAGTGTAGGATTCATAACTGCCCAGGTAAGGTGCAGATTCTCCTTCTTTGGCTCGTTGGCTGAAGATTTTTCCGAGGCTTTCGCCTTTCATTTTGACTTCTGGCCTTGACCTTTAGTCAATTTTTGTTTTTGTTTCCCACCCCAAGTTTAAGGATGGGCTTTTGGTTTGTTCCACTCTTCAGCTCGGATGAATTTATCCGAAGCGTTCAGAGCTTCTCCAAGGTCTATGAGGGATGCATGACCATGAAGTCAAGGGACATTCCTGGCTGGGCCATTTTGCATGACAAAGACGGCCAGCCCCTGACCCAAATGGGAAACGTTGGATGACTCGTTGCTAAAACGAGTCAGATAGTCTCGGAGGCTTTCAGCCTCCCCTTGCTGCAGGCCCATGAGCTCTGCAGTCGTCTTCTCTCGGCATTTTGTCATAGAAAACTTACTTTTAAACTTGGTGGACAGATCGTCCCACCTGTTTCGGGGTTTTCTGATGTCCTGCGGGAGAGTTACAATTCCGAGACTGGAACCGGACGCCTGTACCTGCAAAATAACGGAGACTCCTGGGAGCTCCGCCTCCAACGGTCAAGTTAGTACCTGATTAAGGAGTAATTAATGCGGAAATTAAAGTGATTTGGTCTCTCTAGGTGAGAGTGTTTAATGTAGGTAATCTGCTTTGTTAGCGAGATCAGCCGGTTATTACTGTGTGTAATTAATGTGTTTTTTCCGTAATGTTTCTGTTCTGATTTTGTAATCCCCCTTAATGAGGATTAAGGGAGGTATTTATAACCTTGGGAAACGTGCCCATCCTAGGTTTAGGTTAACCTAGGGCCGGTTGGGCTTCCCTCGGAAGTTGGGCCTGGGTGGCCGGTTTCTCCATTAGGCATGGAGTATGCCACATGTCTTGACATAACAGGTCCAAGGTGGACGAATAAGCGCGTGCCACGTGGTAAGCCCTGACTGTTCCAACTGGGGGACACTTGGCAGGACCTGATTGGTCCACGTGGCGCATTCCGATTGGTGGGAGCAAAATCCCCTAATCATTTTCCCCTCACAGGTGGCACGTGATTGGTCACGTGTTACCAGTGACAGGTGTCGCACTGTAACAGGCGACGGCCTGCTACAGGTGTCAGTCGGCGAAAGGACGAGAGATTTTCCCGCCCAAATTTTGAATTCTGAAAGTGACCCTTCGCCTTCTCACTTTGCCTATATAAGGGAGAGTTGTCTTGAGTCATTTTCACACTTTGAGAACTTTTTGAGAACATTCGGACCCCTGAACTTGCTCTGACATTTTGGACCTTTTCTGCCTATCGCTTGTTCTGACAAGCCGACTGCACAGGATTTTCATAACTTCATCAACCGTCACTCGTTCAGGTAACTCAGTTCTCTTACTCTTAATTTTCTTTTTATTTTCTGAAATGGCACCACGGAAGCACACGACACGACCTAGGTTAGTGATCAGCCGGTCACCGGGGACGGCAGAATCTAGGACTAGGAGTGCCGCCTGCCCTTTTCCGGACCCATCTTTGCCCTTTATACAAAGTCCGACTGTATCTGTGTCTATGCAGAGTAGGATGGCCAGAACGAAAAAGACAGCTAGGATCTCAAATTCAGACGGCTCCTCCCACAGGGTGCCGCTTAGTGAAACATCTGACCAGGCGCCAGATGTGGAAGTGAAACAAGGCGGCCTGGATGCCGGCAATTCTGTGGGGGGAGTCATAGTGACCCCTTCCCATTTAACAGTTAACAAATCTGCTCCTTTTCAAAGAGAGGAGGCGGGCCCCTCCGGGAGAGGGGAGGAGTCGTCCTCTTCGGACTCGTCGGAGGACGATTCCGAGTCAAGCTCTTCTGGCCATGCTTCTTTGGGTACAGAAGAGAAAAACAGCCGCCTGCAAGAGGCGAGACTTTCTCACGCAGTTGAGAAGGGGGACAATTGGGCGGAACCATCCGCCTCTTACCGAGAGCTAAATACCCCCTACTACTGCACGGTACCTCGGGGCCGAATCACAGCCATGCAAGAGAAAGTGGAGAGCTTTATTGCAAACCACACCATGGGCCCCGATTTTATAGTGTTTGTGCCGGATCCAGAAGACACAGTCGTTTGGCCGGCTGGTTCCAGTTATGATAGCGCCTGCTTTGGCTGCTACGAGGCGGCCATCAAGGCAGGACTTCGCTTCCCATTACATCCGGCTGTTCAGCGGATTTTGGATGGGTATGAGTTGGGGTTATGGCAGTTAGCCCCAAACTCCTGGGTCAACGTACTCGGCTATGTGGCCGGGTGCGAACTGCACGGGGTGGAGCCGAGCTTCGAGGCTTTCGCCCATATGAACTATCTTAGCCGGACCCCTAAGACAGGCGGTACCGGCTGGTATCAATTGACAAGCCACAGGGGCTACCTCATGACAAGAGGTAAAGCAAACAAGTGGAAGGACTGGCGGAGCACCTTCCTCATCATTGAGAGTTCAGACATTGAGCTGAACAAGCGCTTCAATAGGTGGAACAGGAATCCGCCCCTTCTTGCAGGCGGCCGTAGCATGCCGCCTGTTCCCCCCAAGGCTAAGAAAGAGATCCTTGATAAAGGACTCTTTAAAGTAGAGTCGAGGGTCGACTCTACTTCAGGGGTACGAGAGCAAGTACCCCTGCACTGCGTCCCGAGCTTCAAGTGGCTCTATGACGAGTACTTTTTGGCCGCCTGCGGCCTCAGCAGTCGGTGCTCAAGAGGTAGTCGGCCTGTCGAATACTCTGTTGTTCCATACATTTGTTGTTTATCTCTTATTAACTTTGCTGTTTGTTTTTGCAGCTGACGCCATGAGCAAAATCACCGCCTCCAAGACTGCGGCGGCCATGTTGCGGGCCTCTATTATGCAACAAGCTTCAACCGACTCCCCCAAAAAGGGGGCACCCTTGGTGAGCTCCGAACCTTTCACCCTCTTTTTGGAGTGTTTATGCATATACTGACTTTTTTCTTCTGTTTTAGACGGGTGCTCCAAGAGCTTCATCTTCCCAACAGCCGGACCCCTAGGCCCGGAAGACGACTGTTGGGAGCTCTCCTGGTTCTGCCAGGAAACAGGTGGCGGCTGAGAAACAGCCGACCACTTCTTCTAAAACTCCAACTAGGCCGCCTAGAGGTATGAAGTTGTCCTTGTAAATTTTAGACTTGCTCCCCTTTTTACTAAGTCTAATCCATTTGTTTATGCTTGATGCAGCCGGCCCCCAAGAGCCTGACTTGGTAGAGATGGCCAAGTCTATGATCAGGGCAGTTCCTCCAGCTGAAAGGGAGGCAGTCAGGGGTGTCGGCACCCTTGACCTTGACGGGATTGCAGGGGTCCTTGCTGAGGTATACTTAGCATATTTTTGAGTATTTGAATTTCTGGACGCCTGTTTTATTTTTTGTTTAGAAACTGACGCCTGTTTCTTTGTACTTAGGCCCTGCTCCGAGTTAACGGCCTTCGCAAGCCGCTTGATCGGAAGAACAAAGAGGTAAAGGCTGCAAAAGCTATGGCCGCCTCTGACTGTGATAAGGCAATGTTTTAAATTGCCCAAAATGAAGTTCTGACCATTGATATTCTTTATTATCAGGCGCAGGCTACCGCCGCTGTTCGGGCTCAGTTAGAGGCGGCCTAGAAGAAGAATGACGAGCTGGAGGCGACCATCACAAATCTCAAGACCGAGCTGAAACCTCTTCGCTTGAAAATGTACTCTTACGAAGCCATAGAGAAATCCTTGGCCAGCGTAAAGGAACGCCTGGTGACCCAGGAGAAGAGTCTTACCCAAGAGCTCTCGGAAAAGGCCGAGCAAGAGAAGAAAGAGCTGGTACGGGAGATGATGGAAGACTCCGCTCAAATCCAGCGCATGACCTGGGGCCGCCTCTTCCCCAGTGCCGACTTTGCCTCTTGGGAAAGAACGTACCGCCAGTGTTCGGATACATATAATCAAGAGATCCTGGCGGCTGCTGAAGAAGAGGCGTTGGAGGAAGCGTTGGAGGAGGAGGAGCCGGTAGTGGCGCTTGTGCCGCTTGGGGGTAAGGCATCAAAAAAGGATGCAGCTGAAGCCGAGTCCAGCAAGAAGAGTGCTAACCAGGCGGCAGCTGCTAATACTGAACTGCCCCCTTCTTAAGCTTTATGTATTCTTTCCACGGCCTGCGTGCCGTTTGCTTTGTATTTACCCGGCCAGGGGGCCGGGGCTTTAAATATTTTGCTGGTCTTTAATGACCGGCTTATTTTTAATGAATTTTTGTTTTGCTTCAAATTTGTCTAAGTATTCCATATCTAATATCCAATTGTTCACTAGACCGACTGTTTTACATGGCCGAACGTTGCAGACAGGTACGGATAGTTAGTACGCCGCCTATGCCCCTGGACGACTGGTTGTCTGTTTCAAGGATAGACGATCAGTCAGCCATTTATCCAATCAGTATTCGAACTATTTTGTCTGGATCCTTTTTAGGCAGGCGGTCCTGTCATTTGTAAATTTAACCAAGTAGGAAAGTGGTCTGACCAAGTAAATAGAGTATTACCTAGTCGCCAAGGAACTGAGTAGTAGAGATAACAAGCGACGGGTACCGGTTGTTTCCCTTTATTGCCAATGTTTGTTGGCTTTTAACTCATAATTTGTTAACCTAGCAGGAGTAGTGGTTGAGAGCCCCTGTTTGTTAAAAACAGGCGGACGACTCATACCTTTTAGGCTCCATACTAAGTTTGAGTGACTATAAGTTAACATAGGAGTTAATTAGTCTTCGTCACAATCTAGATTGAGTAGTAGAGGTACCAGGCGGCGGAGGCCGGCTGATCCCCTTGATTTGCCAATGTTTGTTGGCTATTAACTCAATAGGTTACCTAGTAGGAATAGGGGTTTGAGTGCCCCTGTTTGTCAAAAAACAGGTGGTCTACTCAAACCTTTTAGGTTCCATACCAAATTTGAGGGAGTGACTATGAGTTAACGTTGGAGTTACTCAGTCGCTGTCACTTTTGCTTGAGAAGTAGAGGTACCAGGCGGCGTAGGCCGGCTAGACCCCTTGATTCGCCAATGTTTGTTGGCTATTAACTCAAGAGGTACCCCCTGCATTTATCCCAAGTAATACAGGCGGTCATCTGACTCAGA